CGCCCAGGGCCGGCGGGGCTGCGCGTAGAGCTGGTCAGTCATCTCGTCTCCGTCCAGCCCGTCTCCCGTCTCATCCCTGCCCTCTGCCGTCAGTCAGTCGGCGGACTTCGAGGCGACAAGACGCACACCGCTCTCCCGAGACAACCCGAGACGAGCCGAGCCGGCCCCGCGCCCACACGCACCCGAGCGACACGAGCGGCGCGGCGGGACAAGTCGAGACCGAAAGTCGAGTGTGTTACCTCTCATCTCATCGTTATCATCTGCTCCGACATCGCGACACCAGCCTGCTTCACGTTGGATAGTGATTACCTCCTTCGGACCTGCGCCCGGACTATGAACAAATAGGTGAGTTTACGTGTGCGATGTGTGGGCTTCTTCTTGTGTTTTACTTCGAGAAAAAGAAAACCACTTTCGTGGTTTAGCGGGATCCGCGCGCGATCGGCTGCCTTCGGTTTCTCCGCGGCCGGGGTGGGGGAGGGGAGGGTGACGCAAGGAGACCTCGACGCAAGGCGGTCGGCGCGCGCTCCTCTCGCGGGGGGTTGCCTCGTTTTATCCGCGAGGGAGGGGGATACTGCAGCAACAGATAGGCCCTTCACAACGAGCTCGCCCCGTCCGCTGCGCTGGAAATGTACCGTTTTATTTTTCTTGCGGTAACACAATGCCATCACAACCACGACCTTCCGGAAAGGTCAGCCGTTCTTTTCTTTGCGCGTCATGAAAAATGATGTTGGGGGAGAAATCATGGGCGGTCCCTATGCGGGCACTAGTTTAGTTTATAGTGCGCAGGTTGGTGGGGTTGGCAAGCACATTCGCAATAATGCCGTGATGGTGTTCCGGGAATGGCCAAGAGCAAGGTTGTGTGGCAGGCGAGGCATGGCGGGGCGGGGCGGAGGAGGACGGGGACGGGGCTGTCCAGAGCAGGTAGATGGGGGGGCTGGTTACACCTGGTTACACGCATGAGGGGTCCCCCGGTGCCGTCCGGTCCTCGCCGCACCACGCCTCGCCACTTACCGCCCCACCACGCCACGCCTCCGGTGAGGTCACTGCTGAGGTCGTGTCGGGGCAGGTCCAGCCGAAGTGCGCTGCACTGCACCGCTACAGCGATGCACCGCCTTGGCACTGCGGGGCGTGGCGGGGCGTGGCGGGGCGTGGCGGGGCGGGGCGGTGGTTGTATAACTCCCGTTGCTCGCCCCGGTGGCCCCGCTGCGCTGCCGCTGCGCGCCCCAGCGATGGCCAGGCCGCTGACCCCTGGGGGGGCTGCGTCCAGGTCGCCGCCGGCGGGGCCCTACCCGAGCCCGAGGCCGGCGTGCGGGCCGGCCGCTGCGGACGCGTCCCGTGGCATTGCGGAGCATTGCGGCGGCTCGCTATGGTAGGGCGGGGGCCTTTGTAATCATGTTTGTCGACCGCCAGGTAGCGGTCCGGCCCGGCCGGGCAGGTGTGGCCGCCATGTCATGGGGCGTTCTGCCCTCGAGCCCCCCCCCCTCTAGTGCGCCTCCGCCCCGTGGGTCTTTCTGCCCTCAAGCCCCCCCTATAGTACGCCTCCGTGCCATGGGGTGTTCTGCCCTGGAGCCCACCCTAGAGAACGCCCTCACGCCATGGGACGTTCTGCCCTGAGACCGCCCTCCGCTCGCGCTCCCCGTTCCCCGCGTCCTCCCCAGCTCCGCGCGCTCCGCGGGGGGCGGCCGTGTCCGCGGCCCGTGACGACCCCTAATCGGCTTGCTCATCCTCGGCGTGTCAATCAGCGCCGAGGTCAGCGTGCGCGGTTGCCGGCCCGCCCCCCGCCCGCCCCCGCGCTCCCCGGGGGTGGTCCCGCCCCCGCGGTGCGGCGCGCCGGCAACGCCGCCCCTGGCCTGGTCTGCACTGTGCACTCTCACTGTGTGCACTCCTCTCGGTGCGCGGCGGGGCGGGACGGGCCGCCGCCGGACAGGACACGCCAGGAGCGTCCGATTGTCGCCCAGAGAATAGAGTTGAGTTCCGCAACCAATCGGTCCCGCCTGGTCCCGCTCCCTCCGCCACCGCCCCTCCCTCGGCCCGTTAGATGACATTGTGCTGCATCATAATGCACGGGATTAGTGGGGGAGGGAGGGGCTGCAGCATCATTGCAGCGGGGATTAAACGCATCTTGACACCGCAACAACAACCGCGCTCGGTTCCCGTGAGAACGCCCGACAGTCCTTTTCCAAACCCGAATCCTTCCGCCGAAGGCCCCGGCCTGCCCGTCGGGTAGCGCGCGCCCTGCCCTCCCTCGGTGTTGCGTCGTGTTGCGCATGCGGAGCGCCCGGCGGCGGGCGGGTAGGCAACCCGGCCGCCAGGAGCGCGTTGCGCAACATGGGTTGCCTCCGCTCACGGCGCTCGCAGGAGGGGGTCCGCTCCGCGCAGCTCAGCTTCTCTCTGCGAGGACGCAGCTTCATATGATTGTGTTGAATGACGTTAGATTTTTCTTTTCTTGTTTCAGATATATATCTCTGTCAGAGGTTACTAAACGTCACATCGCCATGGAGGTGTACCAGCCGCTGGACTTCTCCTCCAACTCTGGCCCCCTGGGCGCGATGCTGCTCAGCCCCACCAGCCCGAGCGGGCTCCAGGGCGGTCTCCAGGACGGCCTCCAGGGCTCGCTCAGCCCCGTCCTGGACCTGTCCGTCCACCGCAGCAGCCCACTCACGAGCCCCTGCAGCCCGCGGAGCCCTCGCAGCCCAGCCAGTCCGCTGTACCACCCGTACCACCATCCCAGCCACCACCACCAGCAACAGCAGCACAACAATAACAACAACATCAAGAGCGTCAACCACAACGACGTCAACTCGCCGTACATGTACCACTCTAGTAAAACGGGTGTGGACGGTTTCGGTCGCTCCAGCCTGCCCAGCCCGCCAGCCTACCCCCATGCTGTAAGTATCTTATTCCTTAAGCGGGATCCTTTTTCTTTTTTGCATTTTTCGGGCAGTTTGACTAACTTGTGTTTCTTGATGTTCTGCAGGAACTCCCCGAAGCCGGCCAAGTGACGACGGTGCCCCTCCCGGCGCTCTCCGTGCTGCAGCAGCGCCTGCTACCCAGGTCCGCGACGTCGGCCTTCGCGCCCACGCAACCCTCCATGCCCACGCAGGCCGCCATGCCCACCGTCCCCGCCCCCCGCACGAGGAGGACGTCCTCCGGCCTGCCCGACTCCCCGCTCGGCTCCACCGACGACCGCAGCTCCTCAGCGGCGTCCCTGTCGCCGTCCCCTCCCGGCGTGGACCTCCTCGGCCCGCTGGGCCCGCTCGCAACCCTGGGCCCCCAGTACCCCACCGTGCTCGCCGAGCTCAGCGCGGCGAGTAGCATGCAGGCCGCCATGCCGCCGGTCGTGTCCGGGGCCACCGCTGCCGCCCGCAACGGCAAGCCCACCCGCCCGTTCAAGGCGTACCCCAAGGATCCCCTGAGCCTGGCCGTGGGCGTGCAGGTCGGCGGCTCGCTGGGCTCCACCGAGGCGGCGCTCGGCCGCGCCTCCAACGAGGCGTACGCCGAGTTCAGGCGGCGGATGCTCGCCCAGGTGCAGGCCGCCATCCCCAGCAAGGCGAAGAAGGGAGACAAGCCGGACCAGCCGTCGCGCGCGCCCAGCCCCACGCAGCAGATGCAGCCCGCCGACTCGCTGACGTCGCCACACGAGGCCGCGCACGGCAGCGACACCGCCGAGAGCGCCTCCTCACCCGAGTCGCTGCTGCCGACCACCCTGAACACGCAGGCCACGTCGCCGTCGGCCCAGGACAAGGACGGCAAGGACGCGGCGTACTGGGAACGCCGGCGGAAGAACAACGAGGCCGCCAAGCGGTCCCGGGACGCGCGCCGGGCCAAGGAGGACGAGATCGCCATCCGGGCCGCCTTCCTGGAGCAGGAGAACCTCAACCTCAAGTACGAGGTGGCCGCCCTTCGCAACGAGACGGCCAAGCTGCGCGTCCTTTTGTACTCGGGCGGAACGGACTGCTGAGCGGAGTAGGGTTGGAGAAATCGGTAAAATTGTGATTTTAGAGTAAGTTGGTTTGACGCGTTCAGTGAGGCTGGGAGTTTTTAGCGTGGACCGTCGTCATAACCCTGGTCGAAGTCGAAGACATCGTCGCACGGTCGCGCCGAACTGAGCCTGTTAGGTCATAATTCGTTCGTCTCAGTGGGACCCTGGAGAACTAGCCAACCATTAGTTTGTCATAAGGATGCATTCACACTAGTCCAAAATAGTTCTCGCAGGGCCGTGGGATCGAGGTACTTAACAAATTAGCGTTAGTTAGATGAAAGTATATATTGGCTCGCCCGTGTCAGGTCGGCCTACCTTAGGTTTATATGCACCCTGCCCGGTCCGACTCGCCTAGCCGAGGTCGGGCCCAGCACAGAGGGACACAACCCCAGTTAAAACTTAGATTTAAGACAATTAGATGCGCCTCAAGCGGCACGCTGTCTACTTAACTCCACTAAACTGTGACTCAGGACTGAATCCGGAATGCGCGCGCATCTCGAGGAGAAAGGCGGACATCTCGATTCGGTCCTTTAAATTGTATGTGTTTGTAATTTTAATTTATTCTATTGACTCGGCACAGTCAGACGACTCGGCCTGGAGTAGACCCCTGTAAATCGTCCAGCAGAGTAAATATCGCATGGCGAGTGCGCATCAAGCTGCGCACGGCTCGAAAACAACATGTACAAAATAGAAATTAAGCTTAATTATAAGCGTCTTTTTAAACCAAATATATCTATTTTTATTCGATTTT